TTTAGTCCTGTTAAGTATCCAGCAAAAGTAAAAATATCTTCTATTAGAAAAATTGACAAAAAAACGTATCTAATTTACATATTTTCTTATATATTTTAACTTTTATATCTACATTTATTTACTTGCATTTAGGTTTTCATGTGCATAATTTTGTGTTTATGTTTTACTCTTTCTCCCTATCTTCGTCATAAAAATGTCAAGAATTATATTTAACAGAAATTGGCAAAAACTTCTTATTATTTATTTCACGTTCTCTATTTTTTTTCTGCAATCTGCTCGCCAATATTATTAAGACATTGAACCATAATGAACTTTCGTATTCACTACAATAGTGTATTTAATCGATCACGATTTATATATAGATAAATGCTTACGTAATCGGTTAATGTGTTTCCAAATTATTAAATATAAAGTTTTGAATGCTTGCATCATTTATAAGTTTAACATAAAGTAGTAAAGCAAAAGTTCACTCAAGTTACAAATAATTGCCATTGCAAATTTTTAAAAATTATCAAACGAGTATAAATTGATAACAGTCGAAATGTTTAAATAAAATAACGATCACTAAGTGTAGTAGAATAAATAACAGCGTGTACTCGACAAACGTTAGTCGTGAGATACTTTCCTCCGACGTAAACGCGAAAGATAGAAACGAAAATTAGTTTTGATCCATTCTTAGTTGTTTTTTTTTAAAGCTTTATGTATTTGTAACAAATTACGATATTATTTCGTTGAACTTCTTCGCCACTTGTAATGCTATAAGCATCTAGTATTTTCAGGATGATTGGATGATTAATTATTGGTGGACTCTTTTTTAGACGGTTTACGAATCAATACCGTGCTCTCATTCGCGGCTTGTTCCTCACCTTCAGGCTTCTGGGGCAAATTTTTCGACACAATGATATCTCCTGGTTATCAGCGTTCTCCAGACCGGACACCGACGAGAGTGCACACGTCAATTCGCCGATAATATCGTCCCGGGAGTATCTATCGAAGCTGAGCACTATGAAGTGTAGGCTGATTTTCTGTGAACCATAACAAAAAAGCTTGTTTAGTAATAGGAATCCACTTCGGAAGAAATCTGACAAAGAAAAGTCGAAAACATTAAGAAATTACACGTATGCAAATATTAAATTTCTTTGATCTTTTGTACGTGGAAGGGTTATACAGGGTGTCCCAAAAGTTACTCAAAATCGGTAAATGAGGGGTTCCTGAGGTCATTTGAAGTAACTTTTTCCTTAGCGTAAATGCAATCCGCGGCTTGGTTCACGAGTTATTAACGAAAAACAGTGACCAATGAGAAGCGAAATCTGCTGGTGCAAGGCAGTCGAGCCTACAAGCGGATGACGCCCAGTTCGGCTCATTGGCTCGGTCACCTCGCGCCAGCAGATTCCAGGCCGGAAAGTGATTCTATATGCAAAAATAAGTAGAAAAAAAGGAATAACATTTTTTCATTTAAGGCCCCGTTTTCGAGAAAATTGAATTGAAGGTAATACTATTGAATAGGAATCAAGCAGCGCGTCTGGCCATGACATACCAATTCTACTTCCCGTCATACTAGAAACCACGCGAACTTGACGCAAGTTCAAGCTCAACTTTCTTGAAAACAATGCCTTAAATGAGAAAATGTTACCCTTTCCTCGACTTATTTTTGCATGTAGGATCACTAACCAGCCTGTTGTACCTCGATTTTGGAGGCACCAAATATAATTTTCACATGTCGTTCTTAACATCTTTTTTATATAAAGGGTTAGCTTGGGACTCATAACCCGTTCCAGATTTTTGTTCCTCTCGATGAATACTATACGTTGCAATAAAATAAAGAGTTAGATCTTTTGACCTTTATTTTCAAGATCAAGGACAATTTTGCGGTCAATATTTTTAAAAGATTTCCACCGATCCAGAGGTGTAGAATCATGCTATGGTGATCGTGACATGTAATTTTTACATATCCTACACACATTATTCGAAAAGCAAAAGATCGGCCTCTACCAACAAACTATTCGACGCGTGTGGTAAGCGGATCCGGTATTTCAGAGTCTGAGTCATTAGATGAAGCGAACGACCGATTCCCCTTCACGTCGATTAGTTTGTTGGTGGAGGCCCATCTTTTGGTTTTCGAATAGTACATTCAGAATCAGTTCAATTTCCACTACTCTGCCGATTATACAGATTATTTAGTTAAGCAATAAAAAATCTACCCAAGAGACAAATTTTCCATGTAATATTTGAAAACAAATTAATTGTAAAAATTGACATGGAAGAAATTGATCAATAAAATATGAAGAAAAACATTTCATGTTGCGTTTTTATTCAAATAGATTATATTCTACATGAATTCTAGTATGGATAAATAAAAAAACAAACAACAACTAACCTCTTACTTGAATAAATTTTTATCTATTTATGTTTTTATACGATAGTATAGAATAAAATTTTATTCGTTAATCTTCATTTCTTATCTCTCATCCGAATAAAATTATGCTCGTCAAAATAATTTTTGTATTATCAGATTTATTTGTATCTGAAAAACTGTTGAAAGCGTAACTGCTGTATGAGTTACAAGATTCAATTTCATATGCATAAAAAACACTAAGTCATATAAAATAGAAATATTGTAGGTAAGAAAAACTACTTTGGCTGTAGAGCAAAAATGGTTTTTAGTGCAAAGGGTTAACGCTAAATAACCGAATCGTTAATAAATCCGACCAAACGGGCCAATCGGAGAGCGAGTACATGTACGCACTGCCCTGTCGAGCTTAGTGTTCGTAGGAAAACTAGTTACGTAGGGAGTGAGGTGGTGATGCATGCACAAAGAGTCCAACTCAGCAGCGTGGCGCGTCTACCGGGTGGACATTGTAATGGACAGAGGCTCTACGTTGCGTCGCCATCGTAGTTCAGAATTATAATGTTCACGCGGCAGACGCGCCACGCCGCTGTGCAGAACTCTCGCGTATGCATCACCTACCCCCACTCCTTGCACAGCTAGTTTTCCCGCGAATAATGACGTCAACCGTACTCGATCTTTGATTCGTCCATGCTTTTTTTATCAATAACTCATTAACCTAGCCATGGACATTTTCGCTAAGGAAAAAGTTTCTCCAAATCACCTCAGAAATCGTTCCTTTCAATGGTTTACAATATATTTAGGACATCTTGTATTAGAATTAAAATTTGTATACAGGTTTTGCACTCAAAATTAGTAATTTTCTAAATCATATTTATCTCTCTGCAAATCAAATTCATCCTTTTGCAAATTAAATTCACTGATTTGTAATTATTTGTAATAAAATTTGAAGATTGAATGACATTTTATAAATAACTGAAGATTACTGAATATTAATTATTTTTAATGAAATTTGTATTATTGCGTAAATAAGAATATCATCTCAAGTTCAACCCAAAGCCTGCAACCTTTTGCAAAAAGGTGAACATTATCTACAAAACGAATAATATTCATAATGTGTTTATTGTTATTCTTAACTATTTTGATTCATTGTAACGTATTTGGAAATAAAATATATCGCAGTGGTTTCCAGTTTTTCTGTTGATGGTTTCAGTGGTTTCAATGGAATAAGGGTCTACGCCAGTAATGTCCACGACACAGTGCCCCAGGACACGGCGATGGCGGTCAGCAGCAAGTCCAACAGAACAGGTACTTTACCGCGTGTGATTCAAACCATGATATTCCTGATTAATACAACTTTCTTCTTTGGAAATATTTCCCATGCTACTTCTAGAGTCATTCCACATCAATTCGATCACTTTTTTCCCCTCAATGTCTAGGATTTTGTTTAAACTGAAATATGATGTAGTCCACGTAATATTAGGTGGGGTCAGCATTTTGCTAGCTTCGAAATTGTTTAAAAAATAGCGGCTTCAGAAATTTACGATTTTTCCCATTTTTACGAAAGTGATTGGTACTCAGAAATTTTTATTTCGGAAACGATTTGTCGTATCGAGATGCAGTTATTTTCATTGTGCTTGGGAAGGAATCGCCTATCTACATAAATTTTTATCTGATTGAAAAATCGTTTTTACGTCGTTCAAAATTATAAACAAATTCTCGTTTTTAAAAACGGGTTCGAGGTTGCGTTTTTTAAAAATCGGAAAAAGTACCGTCGCATTCCTTGCACATTTCTCTACAAAAATATGTTCCATAAGATGGTGCGACGCATATTGTTACAGTGAAGTGCCGAAAGTTACCGTGGTTTCCATTGAGCAATGATACTTTTTCACGGATACTAAACTTATACTTTAACAAACAAATCAATGTTTTCACAAAATCCTATAGTGGTAGATAAAATCTAGTGAAATCAGGATGCCAAAATCTACGGGAAATGATTTTTGTATATACGTGTCATAAAAAAATTCAACTGTAGACGAAGTAAACTGAACAAGGTTAAAAAATGTTCATACTACATTTTCTGTATTTTTCCCTCATTCTGCAACATTTCAGCATTATGTTAAAAAGACAGCATCGTTTTTTCTCATATCTGTCAAAAATTCTTCGATTTTGACACAACTTTGTCATTGCACCACATTGTACCACGCGTGGGAAGTCCGACGTATTATCGTACGCGAACATCACTGCATGGACGCTTAATCAAAGTTCCTATTTAATTGTAATACGGTAGATGTCCCAATTTCCGTGTCTCCGAATTAAAAACGTATACGTGGTGTTCTATAATTACTTCAACAGCCGAAAATGGGGTGCATCTGCGGTCATTTGAAGCAACTTTTTCCTTAGCAAAATGCAATCCGCGGCTTTGTTTACGAGTTCTTAACGAAAAACAATGACCAATGAGAGGCGAGCTCGGCTAACGCAAGGCGACGGAACTGGGTTTCGACCGCTCGTTGGCTCGGCCGCCTCGCGCCAGCTGCGCTCGTCTCTCATTGGTCACTGTTCTTCGTTAACAACTCGTAAACGAAGCCGCGGATTGCGTGTTCGCTAAAGAAAAAGTTGTTTCAAATAACCTCAAGTACCCCCTATACCTATAAGGGGCACAGAGGTATGTACAGACACAGACACAGACACAGACATACAGGGCATGGAATCATGTGCAGATCTCCTGGAAGGACGCGGAATTATGGTCGGAAACACCTTTTTTTTATTTCATTAAAAATATTATTAAATTACTAATTTTTACCGTGCAAAAAAATATTCCTAAAATAAAAAATGTCAGAAAAATCGAGATATACAATACAATGTGTGTGAAATGAAAATTATAGTATTTAATGATAGTTTCAGCAAAACAAAAATTGGCTTGAAGGCGCGGAAATTGGGACATCTACCCTAGTTGTCCAAAAAGGTCCACCATTGGTGAGATTAATGCATTATATGAGTAATTCAACGAATATACCTGCAGCTGATCCTTCGATATCCCGAAGAACGTGAAGTCCTCGTCATAGACCGGGTCCCTGGTGTTTCTGAGGACCCTCGTCTTCACTTGGTGCTGCTTATCAGGCAGCAGCTTCAATTTCACGTAAGGATCGCTGGTTGCGTTCTGCTCCCTCGCCGGCAACCCTTTGCAGTTGACGACGGTCACGCGGAGCGCGGTGTGCTCGCTGATGTACCGCAACTTGAACATCAGCTGGCCCAAATTATCCTTGTTGTTCTTCGTCGTATGGTTCTTCTCGCGCTCCGTCTTCTCATTGTTCTCGATCTCCGCCTTATCGCGCTCGTTCTCGATGCTTAGGGTCACCTCGCCCGAAGGTGTCTGAGCTGGCGTACCTAAGGTCAGAATCGATGGTTACCAAGGATCCTTACCTGTTGATCTATCGATATGTTCTTTACCTAGTCGAAACGGTTAATGTATTGTTACACGTACATACTCTTTAACAGAACAGTTGAAACCTGGTTTTTAATTTCTAAATTGAAATGATGGGATAATTTAAAAATAATTGAGATAACAAATCACTTTATATATTTAAACCAATACTTTTAGAAGATTATTTTAAACATAAGCGTTCTATGTATTATAGTATATCCTATAGTATATGCATTCTACAATTCCCAATGATTACTGCAAGACGTTAAAATTTTGGAAAACGATTATTCGAGCCTTGCGGCTTGTTTTTATAGTTGTTGACAATCAGTGACTATGAAAACGAGTCGCGAGACTCAAATAATCATATCTCCTCTTCACAAATTGTCTATTTTTGCTTACAAGCTGAGGGACAATTGCGGAGAATTTACTGTATGTGATGGAAAATTAGGGGAGCTTATATTCCTAACCTTATGTGAATGAATTATAGAAGAATTGTGAACTATAACATAAATAAATGAACTATCTCTTTAAATGCTTTTCAGTAATCGTGGTAACTTCGTGTGCTTAATAGTCTTGTTTTGATTATTATTATCATGAACAGAATTGAGAACAAGTGCTTTTCTCAAATGATCTTTTTATTCATGTGCACTATGAGAGTAATATATTATGTAATAAATAAGTGAAAATAATATTCATGTGTCTAAAATGTCGGATTTCGTTTAACTCTAATTATGAAAGCTTCTGTTCATAAGACATTGTGAAGTATAATTTTAATTCCTTAATATTAACTATATGTATAAATATGTATACATATAGAATACAAAACAAAAACTATGAGCATAGTTTTAATCGATAGTTTTGATAAATTCTTCTTGTATACTACGACTTTGTCAGTGCCAAAGTATAATA